AATTCAGCTATCTTTCAGGATTGTCATATTGTTCTAAAATACCCTGTGAAAAGAAGCAGCTTTATGGAGTAATAGGAAGATCATGGAGAAAATTGCTACAATTACAATGAAATTAAAATAATAAATAAACCTCCTCCATTGCTTAAAGGAAAAAGTCCCAGCTTTTCAGTTAAGAACTGTTAGTCTCTGGTCTCAACCAACGTTTCCAGCATTAAAGACTACTATTCCTCTATACCAGGGATTGGAGGCTCAGATTCCCAGCTGGGGTACAGGTGTGCCTATATACTGAACCCTCCGCTATCGGAGCTACTAGGAGAGGCTGGAGTAGCTGGAGCCATTTAGTGTCATTCTAGCCACAAACAGCTTTATCCTTTTACACCCATGTAAGGTACAAGATATGCAAGGATGCAAGGGCAAGGAAGGTAATGTGAACGTGTATGACTGGCCAAGTTGGGGGTGGGGGCAAAATGGAGAGTGAATATTCTATCTAAAGAGAGCTGCTGCTGCTGCTACTACTACAACACTAGCTTTGTCAAAATGATTATTACCATGCAGGGATCATGTAACCAGGTCGTCTGATGTTTTTTTTTTTCCTCCCAGAGCATGAGGGAAGAAATACCTATTATTGTACACATACAGTCTCCTAGTCTTTATCTTTTGCCAGTTATTTCAGATATTTTAAAATCACATTGTAAAAACCAAAGAAAACCATTTTCAATTATGATTTGTTTCATAAAAAACACTTATGTCTAAGAACATGGAATAGATGGTGATTTTTGTTATTTTTGCTCTCAGGACCCCTTTATGCTTATAAAAGTTATTGAGGACCTCAGAGCTTTTGTGTACATAAAATTTACTATTTTAGAAATTAAAACTGATAAAAGCTTAGGCTATTAATTCATATTAAAATATCAATCTATTATGTTTGAATAACATATTTTATGAAAAATACATTTTCTGAAACAAAATGGTGAGAAGAGTACATTGCTTTACATTCTTGCAAGTCTTGAATGTCTGCCATGTTAGAGGAGAACTAGAGTCTCCAATGTGCTTATGAAGGTTTGCATTCTATTGCGGTAAGTTGTTCTGGTTGAAGTTTGTGAAGAAAATCTGGCTTTACACAGATAATAATTTAGAAAAGGGAGGAGTATTTTAACTGATAATCAGATAATAATGGATATTCTTTTTAATGCTATACCCAAACTTAACAGTTGGTAATTTCTTAAAGATTAGTTGCGATGTGGAATTCGAAATCTCATCAGTTATTCTATAGTGGTATCAATGACCTTTTCATATTATGTTGCATTAAAATCCATTAATGTTTCTTGCTTTTTGAATGGATCTTTTACCCACGCATGATTTTGTAACACTGTGCATTGGTAATTTGAAAAGATTTCTTTTTAAATGCTTGAAGAATGTCTACTATAAGAAAAAGTTGAATTTGTTAATATCACCACTCATATACAAGCCTTTAAGTTTTGAGAAGATACCAAGTTCACAGTGGTAGAAACAGGTTTTTCAAAGTTTAGATTTTTACTTGAAAATTCCATACTAATTATTGTCAACAGATACATTTGTTTTCCTTAGAGCAACAGGCTCACTTTTTTTTCTCAGACAACATCTGCTAAATACTGAAGTCTGAATAATTCTAGTTTGTAGTTTGTTTTCCTTTTAAATAAAAATTGCATTCCTTGGGAAAAATCAGTTAAGCTGTAACTCATTTTGCACTAGTTATTAGCAACAGCATACTCTGGATATATCGCAGAAGTACTTTATATGTACTTACTATGTTAGAATTAAGCACAAATCAAGGTTTGAGATTTTATAAAGTTAGGTTTAATCTTTTCGTCAAGAACATAATTCTAAAAGAAACTGGCTTGGCTTCTGTTTAAAACAGTGAGTGTGTGTCTTTGTGACTAATACAATGAATTACACAACTTGGTGCTGCTGCCTTGATTTGTGCTAAGATGCAGCAGTTTCATTCAATATTGTTTTGCATCATGGGTGCAAATGTGACTACAAAAGGCAAATAATATCTGTGTATTATTATTTTTTTATTTGAGGACCTTCCTCCCTTTTTTCAGAGGGGCCCTGGGGACCCCAAGGATCAATGGACCATATTTGAAGAACTGCTAGCAAGGCAGAAAGACCACTGGATTTAAGAGTTAGAAGACTTAAATTTTGAAGCCTGTGCACCATTCTCTCTTCTTATGATGTGCTTCATTTCCCAGAACTTCAGTGGTTTCATTTATAAAATACGTTGGGGGAAAAAAACCTTGTTTTTTGCTTTTTTGTTGCTTAAATTACAATTGATAAATTAGGAAAAGGTGAAGTGTAAGTTGTTGCTATTTTTAAATTAGTTTTGGCTGTAGCCCATTTGTTTTACTTTTCAGTCATGATACAGTAAACATTCTAGAAATTTTCAAATAAGGAATTTAATACAGGGGAGATTAGGTTCTTTAAAAAAATCACTGGAAGTACTGGAGGAAAGCTCTAGCTCAGCCTTCTGAAATGACTCCCACATCATTGCAGGACTGATCAGTTAGGGAAGCTGCTGCTTCTGTCACAGTTAGGAAAGCAGCCTGTAGGACTACTGAGTTCAAGAACATTCTTCTATAGCTGCAGCCCAGGAAACAGGAAGCCAGGATTAGGTAATTCCTACTGAGCTATGCCTGGAAATTGGAATGCAAAGTCTAGTTGCCATTTATATTCCATCTCTTGACATTCTTAAAGCTGGAAATTGGAGCCTGGAATACTACTGTGGAACAACTTAAATCTTTTCAATCACACTAGAGAAAACAGCCAAAGGCAACAGGATAATGGCTTTCCCCCATCACTCTGCCTTCCGTATCTCATGTTAGTGCATTCTAATGGATGAAGCCTAAATTTCATCCAAAACCCTAACTGCCAGTGAATAAGGAAGATAGTTTTTCTGTTTTTTTTTTTTTTTTTTTTTTTTAATGTTTAGTTTCTATAGTTGAAGACAGTAAACTTAGGGGAATGAGATAATGGAATCTGACTGCTGATTAATCACATACCTAAACCCTGTTTTTCTGCTTCTCTATGATTTTCAAATTGTTTCCACTTTTCATTATCCTTTCATTACTTACCTAAGTTCTAGCCATTTTAATGACCAAGATAGCTTTCATATTTATGAGGCATTCGATACCTTTTTTCCCTCGCTGCTTCATCAGTATTTATGCTCAGCTGTCCAGTTCTGGGTGACACTCATCTGCAGCTGTGGTCTGGGTGGACTTGGATTTTGTAACCAGACTTATAAAACCTTTGGCCTGCTGTTGTCTGTAAAGTGATTCACGATTTCAATTACTATGCTAGATAAATCTTTCACATTTTACTTGCTTGAATTTTTGGGGGGGCTCTACTTAATATACTTTTGTGAGGTATTATACTCTCTAAAGACATTTTAAAAAGCACCACCACTTCCTTCCATGATCAGGTATTCTTTCTAATATTTTAAATCTTCTTACAAGCTACTATTTGGAGAACGTGTGGAGAAAAATAGAAGTAGACTCTGGAAAACATCAATATATATTACTTTTTTTCATTAAATATATAATATGCTTTTCTAGCATCTATGTAAAACCTTATAGCCATATGGTAAAATAAAGCCACCTTATCCTCCATCCTCTATCCTCTTTTTTTTTTTTTTTTTTTTCCCTCTTCTAAAGTTGTGTGATTACAAATAAAACATTTTTAATGTGTCTAAAATACACCAGCCTGGGCAACAAGCAAAACCTTGTATCTACAAAATATTAAAAAGAAAATTAGCCAAGTGGTGCATGCCTGTAGTCCTAGCTACTCTGGAGGTTGGGGTGGAAGGATCACTGGAGCTCAGGAGTTTGAGATTGCAGTGAGCTATGATCATACCACTGCCCTCTACCCTGGGTGACACAGTGAGACCCTGTCTCTAAAAAATAAAATACAAATAAGTAAAATGAAGGCAAAACATGTCCAAAATACAAATAAGCATAATCCCAACCGTGCAAAGATAATAACAGATAGTTTCTGTTTCTGATCGTATTGTTCTGATCATAATCACCTGTTATCACTTCCCTACTTAGCAGTATACTATGGTTTCCATCATTGTTTAAATGATAATGGGAGTATTTATCATTGGCATTGTCTGGGGGAAATTGACCAATATATATTGGGAAATTGGATTAAAAGTCATTTTTATTGAAGGTGGTATTAGTTGTAACCTTTATTCTTTGGAAAAAGAATTAATACTTAATAGCATCAAGGCCATTATTTTCTGTTAGAAGAGGGCTAGTTTCATTCACTTGTATATTTCTTCATTTTTGTGAAATGAGAATCTTATTTTAAATTAAAAGGACTGCATATTTATTAAATAATTCAGGTTGTGTAGAAGTATTTAAATAGAAAATAAAAGATTCTTATACTTCCTACTCCTATAACTTTTTTCCTCAGAGTTAACCACTGTTAATAGTTTGGAACATTCTTCCAGAATTTAGAAAATGTGTGTGTAAAGGTACATCTGTGGTCAGTTTCTGAAACATCAATTTTTGAGGGCAAATTGTTAATTACTGTAATTTGATAATGTCTAGATGGTAGTAGTATGGACAGAATGTAATGTGTATGTAGTTGGGTTAACTTCAGAAAGCAGAAATGTAAATGTTTAATTGTATTGATTTCAGTTTTTGTTGATAAACTGTTCTCAGCAGTCTCTCTGCTTATTAGCTTTTAATAAGATACCTCGTAGTAAATATGGAGATTCTTCTGCAGTGAAATATATTTCTACTTACTGCTTTAGGTATATTTTATCAAAAAAATCATTGAGTTACTGAGTATAACCAGTTAAAAATGTGTTTGCATTTATTTTTAGATAGGCTTTTAGAAATACAAAATTAGTTGGTACTGACTGGTTTAAATAGTATTATTGGATATAACATCTCCATAATAAGAATTACTTTTCATTTTGTTTTACTTTTAATTTTGAGAAAGATAGTTTTGCTTTTCAGATGTGATTGATCTCACTGGAGATGATAAAGATGATCTTCAGAGAGCAATTGCCTTGAGTTTGGCCGAATCAAACAGGGCATTCAGGGAGACTGGAATAACTGATGAGGAACAAGCCATTAGCAGGTAAAAACATAATTTGTATAAAGCAGATATAAGCACTTTTAAAAACAGAAATCATTAATTGGGTTAAATTAATTTTAAGAGGTAATAAGATATACTTTGTTACTCTAAACTAGTAATATGCTTGTGTATTTTAAAATTTTATGTAACGAAAATCTTCATATTTAGTTTTGATTGCAATTGGGTTTACATTTTTAAGATTTTGGGTTGGTGTTATGAGGGATTACATTTAGGTACATATTTTAATATTTTTTTCATTTTTTTTCCATCCTCTAATCTTTTTTGGATGCACTGTTCAATTTAGAACAATTTATAGCAAGGGTTAGCATCCTTTTTCTGTAAAGGGCTAATAGTAAATATTTTTGGCTTTGTTGGCTATAGGGTTTCTGTTATAGCTATTCAGCTCTGGTGCCATAATGCAAAAGCTGCCATAGCTAATACATAATATAATGAGCTTGGCTGTATCCTAATAAATCTTGGTGTACAAAGGCAGCTAGTTGAATTTGTCCCCTCGGCTGTGGTTTGCCGACCTCTGGTCTATAGTATGATAATATGTTTATATATTTTTTTCAAATAAATGGGCAGGGCTCCAAGATGTGTGCTAGAATGCTGTTTTTAATTTAATAACTAAAACTTTTTAGTTTGAAACAGTTCGATTCATCTAAGGACTAAAAAATACATTTGGTTTTCATAATACCTCTAAAAATGGAGATACAATAATTTAATAAACCATTAAATTATAACTAACTGTAATCCTCCAAAGAACTATTTGAAGGCGGTGGTAACTCTATGTTACTGCAGAAGAAATTTAGCTTGCAAGAGGTTAAATGCTTTTTCCAAAGGCACACAGCTCAGATGCGTCTTACGACTTTAATGCTGTGTTCCTTTAACATAGTCCTTTGGTAACAGAATGTACCAAATTTCTCAGGTAATTTTTCTTGGCACAATATCAATAGGATATTTCTTTCCAAGTAATCAAATATTACTATATGGTAGGAAATGTTTCAAAATGCTATATTTAGCAAAGGTATATAATTTTTTATCTTAGTGCAACTTTTTAATGTCTTTAAATGTTACTTTGGAAACTACTTTGTAAGACATTATATTATGTAAAGACTTAGTTAAAATCTATTGTCTGCTGGGTGCAGTGGCTCAAGCCTGTAATCCCAGCACTTTGGGAGGACAAGGCGGGCGGAACACGAGGTCAGGAGATCGAGACCATCCTGGCTTACATGGTCTCTACTAAAAATACAAAAAAATTAGCCGGGCGTGGTGGCAGCGCCTGTAGTCCCAGCTGTTCAGGAGGCTGAGGCAGGAGAATGAGATGAACCCGGGAGGCGGAGCTTGCAGGGAGCTGAGATTGCGCCATTGCACTCCAGCCTGAGTGACAGAGCGAGACTCCGTCTCAAAAAAAAAAAAAAAAAAATCTGTTGTCCCCCTCATTAGTTGTGGCTAATATTTATTGCCAGGAATTTTAAATGAAAACCAAAAAATACGTAGTTAGGCTTGTTTTCTGAAGCATTTGAGAAATTCTATGAATTGGGCCTTTTCTTTTTCTTTTTAAAATGTGTATTGCAATACATAATTGTCTTGAATAATTATAAAACTTGATAATACTTAAACTTTGAGAAATATTTTAAATACAAAACACATGAGTTGGATTTCATATGTAAGGGGCATGATTTTATGTGAAAAGGGTTATGAAAAGAATGTATACTTGATACAAATATTATTTTTAGAATTATACTTTTGTTTATATGAATTTATATGAGCATATGAATATAAAATGTGTGTGAGCTTATATACCCAATTAGTATCAGTAGTTCTATTATGTGTTTTCTAATTAAAACAACATGTACTAATTATATAGTAAAAGTAAGATAATATAAAAAGGGATGAAGGCCGTTCCTAATTTGATACTCAGTTCAATGTATATGTTATATTATTGTTTTGGATAGTTATTTTTATCCAAAATGGCAAAACAAAATCTCTTCAGATAATGCTTTTTTTCATTCTAGGTCTTTTGCATTTTAATATAATTTAAAAATAGTAAATATTTAGTAGATATTATTATTGTAGATGACATAGAGATTTGGCATAGTGTAACATGCCATAAAACTATACTCCCTAGAAGTAAAAGAGTCATATTAATTATGTGTAAATTCAATAACCCGTAATGAACAAATGGATGTTCAATGCAAAATATGCGTTTAATAAACTCATGTCGATCATGTTGTATTCGAAAAAGAGGATGTGGAGAGTTCTAGCTAAACATTATCAGAGATATATTTGCTCCTATGGGTTTATTAAGGTATAGAAATCTAAATTCAAAAGAGAAAATGATACATTTTAAAGGAAGACATTTATATATTATGCTAAAAGTAAATTAACTCTTTCTTTATTACTGAAGTTCATATAGGGAAAATCTTTGCAAATAAAATTCCAGAATCATTTGCTTATTATATTTTAGTAGACATAATTTAATGTGAAATTACACATTAGGATACTACATTGTGTATAATTAGATGAGATAAAGCCTACCGTTTTACATCTTAGAATCCTGTGTTTAGACATTTATATACTTCATGATAAAATTTTTTAAGTAGAACGTTTTCAAAGTATTTATATACTTTTTAGTGTCAGAATTGGATGTATTTATTATCTCTTGATTGTCACTTCCAGGACACAAGTGGAATATGGACAGTTGAAATTTGTTAATAAACTACATTGTGACTGGTTTGTGTCTATGGTATATTTCTTGTGAAAATGGCTTGCCTTATGAAATAACTTTGAAGTGCTTCATTAGAAGATAGTGCTAAGTTTTCTAGCTAAAATTGTTACAAAGAGCATGCACCTTCAACTATTTCAAGAAATGGTAGACTGCAGATTCTCTTTTTTCCTCATTACTTCTGTGTTTCAGCTAGTTATTTCTTATTATCTTCAGCCTGGAGTTGCCATTGGGGAAAGAAAGAAGGATCGTGTCCAGGAATAGTCAGGGTGGAATTCTGAATTATTAAAATAGGTCTGTATAACGCCTGCATTTTTTATCCTTATCATTACTGAGGAAGCAGTGTGAAAGGGAACTGCCTAAAGACGGTGTGTGAAACAGGAGTGGATGAGGGAGGCAGAGTTAGAAATCTTTTAAAATTGATCTTTAAGGAGGATTTCAGTGCTCAGTAATACCAGATACTTGTGGATGCTAAGGAGCATGAAGGGCCATCGAATAACCATCAGGGTGCATTATGTCAGATTATGGATGGCCTGGAAAAGTAAGAAATATGACACAGATTAGTTTCTGGGGCCACAAGGTTGTGGCTGTAGGTGACTGATGAACAGCGACAGTGCAACTTGAAAAAGTATCAGCAACAGTGAGGTACCACTGATATCCCCAGGAAGAGGGGTCAACTGGCCGATGTAATCAGTCTGTCCGGGTGGCAGGAGCCACACCCCATGCAGTCAGATACACAGGTCAGCTTTTGGTAGGAGTCACATGTCTGACAAGTTGTGGTAGCCTCTGTGTTAGAAACATCGAGTTCCTTAATGTGTACTCTGCATATGATTGCGGATGTGATTCCGTTTTGGGTATTACGATTGTGGCAGGGGTGGTGGTCTGGGTTGTGCAAGTTTGATCAAAAGCTTTATTCTGTTCATCTCATTGAAGAACACATTAGAGCATTCATCCATCACAGTGGCTAAAATTAAAAAGAGTGATGGGAAGTGATGTCAGCAAGATCACCGACTAGAGTTGCTTGGCTCTCATCCCCCTCGCGAAAAGGAACCAGAACAATAAATAAGTTTATTTTGTCTGGAGTGACTGAGGAAATGCACTGGAGAGCACCAGGAGAACGGCAAAGTCCCTGTGGAGCATGGAGTCAAGAATAGCTCCACAGGGAGGAGAGCAAAGTATCCTGTCTCTGCCATACTGTCTCCCCTGCCAGGATTGAATCAGAGCTGGGGGTTCTTCTTCTAGGAAGGAAGGTAAGCTGGGAATCATGAGAACTCATCACTGCCGCAGATGCCAGCAGTCACTGCTACAAGAGCGTTCCCCAGTCCTCACAGGTCCCAAGTCCAGCATAAACAGTTGCTGAAAGTACATGTGGCTGCATTCCCCCAGAGCAGGAACCTCTTTGACACTCTGCATCCCTGCAACCCGAGTAGCTGAGGGATGGCACAACTGTGAAACCAAGCCCACATCTGGAGTGCTTCTGACCTGGAGGCCAGTAGCCACTCTGTATCCCAGAGGCATTGCCTTCATTCCGCAAAGTTCACACAAGTGCCTCTAGCATTAATACTTTGGCTACTTGGAGCCTAGGCTCAAAGTTACTACTGGGGCCCTGATGCCTAAACCCACAAGGCTCCCTATTACCCAGGGAAGCAGGTGGGCCTGCATGGCAGGGCAGCCCCATGCAGCCACCAGGCTAGTGTACACCTGTCCCTGGCTCAGTAGCTGGCCTGGAGGTGGCCCCACCCCAAGGGAGAGAGTAGTGTACAGCCAGTGGGCCTGTGTGAACTTGCTCCCAGCTTGAACAGCTGGCCCAAAGGTTGTCTGCTTGTATCACTGGAGGATTCTGCACAGCTGCTGGGCCACAATTGCCTGCCTTTAGTCCAGTAGCTGGGTTGGAGGCATTCTACCCACAGCTCAACCCTACATCACCAGAGTCATGCACAGCCTCCAGACCTGCATGCATCCACCCCTGGCCTGATAGCCAGCCCAGCGGTAACCCTGCCATTCAGGAAAGACCATTGTACAACCTTTCTGGCCTGCTGCATCAGCATGTGCCTGGCCAGCAACCAGCCTGTTGCCCCCAACTCCAGAAAAACCATGCCACCACAGTCAGGGTCTCCTGCATACCAGGTCACTGAGATAATCACGGACATCGCAGGTGAGGATTCCAGCTGAATAATGTGTATGGAGACCTCACTACTGAGTCCACCCTGAACCAAAGCCAACACACCATTTCCAGTCAGCACCCTAGGACCCATCAACAGGAAAAAGCCTCTTC